ACAAGCACTTTTCTTCCAGCTTCATATACTATACTTTGCTTCTAAGATCTTTTTCGTGACTATCTAATGCAAAAGGAATGGCAGCAGACCTCTAATGAGGAAAAGGGGGACAAAGGTTTTCTCCGAAGAGTTTTGCTCTCCCTTTGCTTTTTGGCATTCTGGATCTTTCTGAGCTGTGTGGTAGGAGTCTACACTGGGTAGAGAACTGCAAACTGCTGGAAATGACTGGCTGTACTTAATGATGGCTCAAGTCAGAGCATTTAAAAGTACTGTAATTTGTTTTTCTTTCTAGTCTAGTTTCAACTGTCTTGGTAAAAACACACTTCAAATACTCTGACACTTGTATTGTTTTTGATTTTTGTCTATTTTCCAAGACGTTCACCACGTGGCACCAGCTTACACGCCCTTATGTACACAGGTAAATGTATGTATAAATATCTATCAAAACAGAGAAATATGGATTTTTTTTGCCATATGTATGTGAGGATTGCAGGCTGTACGTTTCTGTGTGGTACAACTAGGTTGAAATGTCTCCTGTCTGTTCTGCTGGATAGTCTCGTAAATACACCTGTCTGCAGGCACCACATACAGGTTTCACTATCTGAAAAACAGACCGTCTTTCTTTATTCACACTTTGCTAACTGTACATTCATTAAGCACTGCTTAATTATTTGAAAATATATTTAACTCTTGTCAAGTTGTTGTGGGTAAGATGCTTCTAGGTAACATAAGCGTTGCTGTTTTACTGCTAAAAACTTGACACCCATACTTCACATTTGCTTACAAGCAGCTGTTACTATTGCCTGCGCAGTACAGGATTAGAGTTTCAGTTAGCTGCAACAGAGAACAGATCTTACACTAATATTCAGCCATGTCCTGAATGTCGGTTCCTGCATAAATAATGCAGGACTGCTAAAATTAATCTTGCAAAATTTTTCTCGTCTCAGCCTGGTGGATTTTTCTTTTTTCAAATATAAATTACTATTGACATTTTCATTCTTTGCCTGATCACATTAATAATGAAGAAGTAGCTGTAGATGGTAATTTTGCTCGAAATTTTACTGGTGATGAGTGCAACTATTTTTCATAAATCTGTTTCTTAGTACATTTCTCATTATTTCCAAAGAAAACTTTTCCCAGGAGGTTTGGAAAACTTTTAGCACACTGTCAAATGCTTACCAAACTATCACTTAACAAAATGACTATGAAATTAGTTGTTAGGCTTGCTGCAGTGATGAAAAAAGTTGATCTCTAATTACAATTCAAACACTGTGAATCAAATTATTTGACTCTAAATAAAACAGTTCATAGTAGGCAAGCTTCCCACTCTGATATCATTTACTGACCATCTCTCTGAAAGCCAAATGAACTGCATATACTTCAGGTTTTTGAGATTCATTTTGTGGCACTTTCTGCAGACAGCAATTATTAGCTCATACCGAGAAAGTTGCTGAGCTTTCAAGATATCAGCTATAAAATGAGTTCCTGCTTACATCATCTTGTATCCTCTTTGCAGTTACTAAATCTAGTCCAATATATATATATTTTTTAAATCCACGTGGGCTGCTGCAATACTGTGCTAGACTGAATCTGGCTAGGAAGAACATTGCATTCTGCTCCTTTCCCCCTCTGGCAGACACTCAGCGTGCATAGATAATTCAGTCCACCCTTTCTTAACTTGCTGTTTTTTGCTCTGCCTTTTTCCATCCTTTTGTTCCTTTTTAAGCTATCTTTCCTTTCAATAACACCTGTACAATTGTCAAGTGTTTCCGATTATATTAATTTCATCTTCATCTCTTTTCCCTCTGGCTTCTTGCGGTTCTTCTTTTCTTGTGAGCTGCATTTCCTGTTCCCTCTCTTGTTTATTAGCAAGCCCAGTCAAGACTTGCTTTTGCCGCTGTGCACTATGTTTTGCTACTGCACAGCTCTCTCTGCAAGGCTACTTGTTACTGTGAGGATATTAGGCAGCCCCGTGGAGAGCCTTGTATTGTGCTATGGGAAAAGCTGAACTCTGACCAAACAAATACAACTCCATTTTGCTTCCTTTCAAACATCAATTTCTTTTGCAGCAGCCAGCAGCGGAACGAAATGAATCGAGTCGCAAGGTCATCAGAAGATACGGACATTTCTGGATTTTTATGCAAGGACTGGTTCACATTCTGTTCTTTAAAGGGAACAAATATCAGTGAACAGCTTTATGAACAGCAGCAAAAAAAGGTGCAAGTACAGAGAAAGCCAATGTTAAGAATTAGCTTCTACTGGTTTGTCTATAGGAGTATTGACTGTTGCACAGCATCTAGAGAAATGGCTAGAACCAGCAGTAAAATTGAAATCTCCCTTCTGGGAGATCACCAAAAAATAGAAAAAAGCTAGCAGAAAAAGCTAGCAGCTTGTCAGGGAGATGTTAAGAAAGATGCGGAAATTGTTCAAACCTGAACAAAACTCTTCTGTGTTTTGGAGATTAATTCTTGTTTTTTTAGAAGCAGCTCTTGTTCCTGGTTATGTTCAGTAACTACCATTGAAGTGATTCCAGATGCTGTGCGTTTTTCCTTTGCTCTTCTGTCATTTTATCCCTGCTACTGAATGTCACCAGAACCTAGGAGAACTATATACCAGTGCTTCTGCAAGCTTTGGGAAAAGAAATGGGGAAAATAAGATGCAGAATATTAAGTATCTCCTAAGAGCAGCTAGGACTTCTGTTCATGATTATGAGCAGACCACAAGTTTGTGGCTGCTGTTTCAGCCCTGAACCACAAGAACTCTCTCTGAAACATCCTTCCCTGCTATCGCACTACTTTTTCACTGAGTCATCATCCTTCCAATGTTAGCATGTAAAGCAATAATTTTTGTTACTACTTGCATGCCTGAGTAAAAGCGAGCAGCGAGAGCTGCCCCATAAGTCATGGGAACCAGCCCTGCAGTCTAAAGAGCAGTTCTCCTGTAAGCTGAGTTTCTAGTTGAAGTACATTACCTCTGACAATAAGGACTTCCCTGAGAGTGGACTAAATGAGCGGCCAAACACTTTGTACTTGGCCTTTGTAGTGACTTCCAAGAAAGCTTCAGTTCCCTAATTTGCTCTAGGTAGTTATCACTGCAAAAACAAGTCACATACTGCTCCTTTCAGGAGAAGACAAAGAGCTGCTCCTTTCCTTCTCCTCAGATTCTGCTGCAGAATGAAAATAAAGACAAGATATTGGCTACAGAGCTTCAAAATCAAATAACCAGCCAAAATCCCAATGAATGGGCTCCGAAACTAACAATGGATTTTCCATGACTTGAAGGAAACACTGGGGAAGCTAAAGCCACTTGGAGAAATGAGATCAGAGGCTCACTGAAGCTTGGAGAACGGCTGGAAATGACATCAATCTAGTATTTGTGTGTGTGGTTTGGACTTTCCCATCTGCAAAATCTGCCTTTCAGATATGTCTGAATCAAAATATTGGGCGTTTTTGGGACCAAATATACTTTCTGTTGTTACTGTAAGTGGCCTAAAATATCATACGCAACTAATGCAATTTTTTTAGATAAGATTTACGAGTTTTGCTCAGCCTTGAATTCCTGTGGACTCTCTACCCGCTTGAGAATAGTTTGCTCCTATGCACTTGCTCTCAAGCTACATGATCTGTTTCCCGCGTAACCATGGTGGCCTTTATAAGCATATCTATGCCCTGCAGCAATATAGGAACAGACAAATGAGAGAGGAAGCACTGCAGTCTATTACTGCCCCCTGCAAAAGAAAGAATGTGACCATATGGAAGGCATCTACTTATATCCTGTGTCAGAAAGATAACTCTTGTCCTCTTCATAGAAGTAAAAATAAATAAGGTTCAGGCTAAGTTCAACACTCTAAGGTTGCAGATTAGCAGCTCATAGTTTGGTGAGAGACATCCAGTTTTCCTGAGATACAAGTCCCTTCTAAGGTTCAAACTAACAGGCAAGCACAGTTAGATAAAAGTGCACTGTGTAGATGAAGGACGTGCTCACAGGTGAGTGAGTGACTCATACTTTTGGGTTGGGCTTTTAGTTCAGGCTTTTATGAACCACCACCACAGAATCTTTTTGCAGAATTGCCCTTAGCCCATGGTTTCCATTCAAGATCTATAGATCTATGGAACTTGAATAAGTCTATAGAATAGATTGTTTCTATGTTCATGCACTACATTATGAATTTTAAGGTGCAACTGTAGGTAAATTGTCAATTACAAGCCTCATCTCTTTTGAATAGGAAAGCCATATAAATAAGTAGAAACTGTTCCTTGGTCAGATCTTGCAAGTAGAATCTACTCTCATCTCAGCGTTAGAGAGAGAAATAACAAATGAGAGCAGTAAAGCAACTGCAAATTTCTATGAACTTCCAAATCACTGGCCAAATAAGGTCATTCAAACCATGTCCCTTCTCTCTCTACCTCTCTTCCATTCCCATTATTCTCCCTTGTTACACTGTGTAGGAAGGCTGACTTTAGAGCAAAAGCAATGAGGGAATTATTTTATCTCCTAAAGCGCAACTGCCAAACTTCAGTAATATTTGTAAGCTTATGGAAAATGCGGGCTCCTCCCTTCTGGCTGGAGGGTGATTAGCACAGCACAGAAGCTTACAAAGCTTACAAAGATTTTTTGAATGAAGCTAGTTTAAAATATGAAGGGATGTCCATCTGGCTGGTTCAGACTAAGGTACGTGCATCTGAACAGCACATTTTCTAGTTCACTGTGTCACTGTGACATCAGCCAGTGTAGGTAGCATGTTACACATGAGCAGAGTCCCTGAAGGGGCCTGCTGTGAGCCAAATATTTATTTTCTAGATTGTATAGCGATAGGTTTTTTTTAGGTCTGTGCAGTCTCTTTTTCTCCAGCTATAGTGTGCTGCTGCCATTCAGGTCACAGTGCACAGCTGGCTGCATGTCCTACTTTGAAAAGCAGAATATCTTTCCCATTCCTCTCTGACTTTGGCAGTTTCGAGCAGTGAAGGCACGGTAGCTTGTGAGTCTCTGCTGTAACGTACCTGGTAAGGAGAAGTCTGGGCTCAGCGCTGGCACAGCCCAAGTCATGCAGCAGACCGAGAGCAGGGGGCTGGTGTTTGCAGCCTCCTGTCAGGCAGCCAGACCAAATCCCTTTAGACACAAAGAGGACATTTTCAGAATAACTAACAATCAATCAGTGACAGACCAGGCAAAATGGTACGTTTCAGAAAATTACTGCTCAGGAAGAAAGACTGGAGATATCAGGAGAAAGAGGATTCTCAGCTTTACAGTGCCATATTAAATACACACTTTTTTTTTTTGCAAAAATAAAAGAAATAAAATTTTAGCAGCTTAGTATGTTTGACATTTTTTTTCCCCATCAGAAGAATCTTAGGCTTAAGCTGAAGTCTCCCCCGTGTGAAACGGATTTAAAAAAAAAAAAAAGTTTGTTCCCTCTATTACATTATTCTTTTCAGAAATAGGAAAGACAGACATTTGTAACATACTTGATTCCACCCTTGCAACCAGATGCACGTGGCTAAAACCCACGCTGAAACAGTATCTGGGACTCCAGGGCAGATGCATCTCCTTCCAGGGACTGAGCCCCAGGGAAACAAAACTCTGCGTTTCTAATTATTTGTTGGAGCAGTCTGGAATAGGCTTTCGAATCTGCAAGATCAGGGCCCAGAAATGGCCAATGAATCTTACTGCTGAAGCCTCCCCCTGAATCCTTTACTGAACTTCCATTAAAGGGAAAAAAAAACCCAAAAACAATCAAAAAAGGAAAGGAATATAAAGAACGTCTCTCATTGTTATAATTGCAGTAAAAGTCTCAAAACCCCTTCCCCGCTAAACTCCCCATTTCCCACGCAAACGTAACTGATGAGACTGCAGAAACCCTGGAATGAGAGTACCAAAAGGTACAACTGTCTCACTCACATAACCAAGGGTCTAAATACCCAGTGAGGGTAAACTTAATGTCAGTATTATTTTCTAGAACTGGTGTTTTGTTTATGGGATTCACCCACACAGTTTATTTTGTAAAAGAAGTGCAAATAAGCACTGCCATTTCTTTTCTTAAATCCACGCCTGATGTCTGGCAGAGGTCTGCAGCACCTTCATGATGGAGATCACTTTGGCTGCTGAACTGCAGGTTGGCTGCCTAATTCAGTTAAATGTGTAGTTCACAACCTGTGAAAAGGAAAATGTTTTTACTTTTTATAATTCCTACTTATAGGAAGGGGAGAAGGAGGGAAAAGAGAGAGGGAGGAAAAATAGAGCAGGAAGAAAAATGAGTAAAACCATTGGCAACTTTAAAAGGCTACTGATTTTCTAAAATGCTCCAGCGTTAATGCTTAGTTAGCAATGCAGAAGACATTTCTTACAATATATTAATGGTGAAGTAACTGTAATTTTTTACTAAAAAACTGCATTCAAAACCCAGAGGAATGGAATGTTTTTGATCAGCTTTCACCTGTTTACTGATGTGCAAGTGTCTAAAATCACAGGTAACTTGAGTTTAATATATCAGCAAGAAACTTAAGGTCAGTTAAAATTTAACAGTCTTTTTACTTGTGTGATTGCAATCTTTGAAGCAATGTCTAGAATAAAGTAGGAGTTATCTGTGGAACTAACCTGATTTGAGCACAGTTACAGGGTAGCCTTTGAAAGACTGCCAATACAAATGATCCCTTTTGATAAAGTCTGCCTTGAGCATGATGAAATATAGCCCTTGGATCTGATTCACTAAAAGTTTCTGTCCTCTTTGAGCACCTTTTAAATTAAAAAAAAAAAAACAAAGAATTTCAGCCAAAAGTTCACCCTAACGATAAGCCTAGAATGCTGACCTAAGATAGGCATTGCCTAACTGCTTTTTACATTTTACTAAATAAAGATATTTATTCCAATGTGATGTTGATCAATAACTGTCTGATGGGCTAAGTTGGAGACCTTGGGATAGGACGGAATAACCAAAAGCAGAATCTGTTCTCTTTCTGTCTGCATTTGCTGCTGAAATCAGTCTTTTGGATCACTACTTTGGCTCTCTTATGATGAATTTAGAACTGTATATAACGGCTGTTTGCAAAAATGGTTAGATTGCTTACTCGAGCTGGCATGCAAAGATAATCGTATTCTCATTCCACCTTTTTCTCCTTCCTTCCTCAATAAAAGAGTACGTTTTTTAATGTACACAGCTTATACTGAAAGTACCACGTACCCCCTAAACAGACAGATACAACTATGCAGTAGAGTGTTTTAGTACATATTGAGCTTTAAATGTATGCTTTAGATAGTATACTGTTGAACTGGAGCCCACATGGATTACGTATACCCTACATACATTTCTTTACAGCTGAGAAGGTGAAGAGAAACACCAGGTAAATCTTATTTGTCCCGTTTTCTCAATTTAGTTCCTGTGACAGTGCACAGCCTTGATAAACACTCATCTGGAATCCCAGGGCAACCATTTCCCTTCATTTGTAGTGGGAGTCCTTAAATTTCCGAAGGCTGTTCCTTCTGCTTCAGGAAAATGAGCAAAATGGCGTAACTTGGCAATTTTACTCCGTCTGCTGAAGTCCTGCATGTTTCCTTCCCGTTCTTGGCCCACCTCGGATAACCCTCATGTTGCTACAGGGCTGTGCTTTGTACTTTGAGAAATACCACCTCAGACTGCCTGTGCAGAAATGCAAGCCCCTGTCAGCTTCTCTTTCATGCCAATATTTTAAGAGGTTACTTGGTGCCATTGTTAACATCAGTCTTCTCCTCATCTACATACTTTGTATATGGCGCAGATTTCTTCTGCTATCTTATTACTGAAGTCTTAGGACTTCCACTCATTTTAATCCAATTATGATTAAATTCAAAAGACAGGCAACAGTGGAAAGCTTTTCTATCTTTTTTTAGAGGCTAGAGTGCAGGGATCACAGGTTCAAATACATGTTCTTTTTACGATAAATAAAGGCTCACTTTATTCCCAGGTTTGAAAGGATTAACCTTCCCCTGTAGATCAGGTGGCACATGCAGGGCCCCTACACGTCACCAAAACGTTACGGAAATCTCCGAAGCCCCGCAGTGAGTTTCAGTCTTTGCTCCTTGGTAGGAGACGCCACAAAGCAAACTTCCAGCACACTGAAGAATATCTATTTTCAGTAAAATACTCCATAAGTAGCCAAAGCGTGTCATAAAATACAGCGTGTCAGTTCCATCTGCAGGATTCAGCAGCGTGTGTAAACAGCTGTTGTGATGTGACACTTGCACAAGGAAGGCGGGCGTGTGTGATAACGCCATAAGCCTCCGGGGTGGCCTCTGCACCACCACTGCTGCTGCAGCAGGACACAGAGAGCCCTTTTCCTGCTCTAACAGAAAAACAGCCCTTGCCAGAATTGTGTGCTGCATGTGAATAACACACAAGGGAGTATAACGTGTGAAATCCTTCTACAGGCTTTTTAATTTTAAATCACATTCTGTCACTAGCGTCTTCCAAAAATATACAAGACAACCCTCCGACAGCACAATAAACCATTCTTCTGCTCTTGGTTTTCTGTATTTCAACATGTTTTCCCAGATGCCACTCTTAGTCAAAATAGATGTGCTGTTTCTACATTTAGTGAACAAAAATGTAAATACTCCACAGTTTAGATGAAATTAAAATACATCCTGCACAAGAATTCTTCCCTTTCTCTCCTGCCTTTCTAAGCAAGCATTTCAATTTGCCTCTAACCAAGTATTTAAACTTCTTTGAAAGCAATATTGCCAAAAATGAAATCACAAAGTGGCTCTCAGTCTCTCTTCATACCTACTAACTGTGAAATATGGTAACATCCCGGGACTCATTAACTGCCAGCCAGCCCTATTATCACTTCATTCTCACAAGAACGTATGTAGTTTTTCAGATCTCAGTGAACAGTAAAATAACAAAGATAGATTTTCGTTAGCAGAAAAATACGTTCTTTAGAGCATTCCTAGCAACCGCAGGAAAATTTTTAAGCTGCACAGCCGATACATTAACATTACTGTGGCAACAGCCACAAGGTCAGCTGGCCGCTGCGCCCTGGGGAGGCGGTAGGTGAACGCTCTGCAGACAGAAGGCGCAGGCTCCCCTGCGCACAGGCCAAGCACTGGCCAGCGCTGCGCGCAACCCCGGGCACGCGATGCGATCTGGCAGGTCTCCTCCGCCAGCAGCGCCACTGGAGCCAACTCTGGGTGATTACGCTACACGGTGCATTTTCACCTAAGTTTTGTCAATCCATATTGATATCACAGGAGTGCTCGGAAGCGCTAGACCACACTATAGGCATGCAGCTGTGATACCCACGCCTACGAAAAGAAAGGATTCGCGTCACCACAAAAACGAAACACAAAAGCTGAGAACGTGATTGCGCCACGTGCAGCCTGTAAATGCAGAGCTGAATTTTGAAGGATGCCAGTCCGAACTTCTCTGCTGACTTTGAGTTTGATGAGAGCTTTTGGTTGCCCCGGTTAGGTGAACAGAAGCAGCTGTTTGCCATCCAAGAGCAAACGCCTTCGGCCTTTGCCAGTCCTGAGCAAACTCCTGGGATTCTGCTTGCAGCGTTAGGAATAAGAAAACAGTATTCAGGGCTTGTGTTTCAGTGCCCAAAATCCACACCCTGGATAATTTTTATGGCTACAGATTACATGTACTATGTCCACTAATGCCCTTACGTAGCTCTGACTGGAAATAATTTCCAATGCTGAAAAGAAAACACGTTGGTATGTGTGATGTCACCTAAACCAGCCATTTTGTATACTTGAATGTGAGGTAAAGGGATACTGCTGAAGGACAGGGAAAGCATTGGGGCAAATATTCAGCCATTATAGACACAGAAAATCCAGCCAGAAATGCACATATTATACCTTTGGTTTTGAAATGTCCTTGCTACAGCTGCTTTTTACAAGGCGGACTCTTCCACTGGCTGCTCTTGGCAAATAATTTCTCTGTCCCTGTGAAAACCTGATGCTGTTAGGGATACAGCTTACAGAGACGGGCCAGGAGCTCCAGGCGCTTTGAGCGCAACCAGCCACAGGAGAACCCTTCAAATTACGAAGGGATCATTCTCCTTTCACCCGGACTATCAGCTCGCTGGGCAGGCTGCCCGGCGGCTTCAGCTCCTGCCTTCCCGCCCCTGGCGATTTGTGTCTCACTGCTGCACCCCACGTGGCTGGGCAGAGGCAGCCCAGCTCTCCTGGGCCCGGGCGGCAGCGCAGGCTGGCAAGCCTGATTCTCGACTGCGCCGCTCACCGCTGGCTGTACGCCGCTTCTGGTGCTCAAGGCAACGCGCGTCTCCCCTTCACCCTGGCCAGCCAGCGCCTGTCCTCCGGGTGCAGCGTGGCAGTCGGTGCGCCCTGCCCAGGCAGACAGCGCGGCTGAGGTCCTGCTCCCCTGAGCTCGACTCTTCCCTGGCCCCAGCTTTCCCCCCCGGAAGCAGGTTTTCTTCTCCGAACGTCCCCTGCCTGTCCAGCATGGCCTGCCTTAACTGTCCCGCCCTGCCTAGCCCTGCCTTAACCAGCATTTTTTCTGGTTCTGTTAAATCTCCTTTAGGGAATTTTACTCTTGTGAAAACAAAGAGGAAATGTCAGTTTAGTTAGTAATCCTAGCAGCAGGTGCCAGGGCTGCATGCGGTGGGATGCCAGACGGGGCAGAGCTGACCACACCACACCTTACCAGCTGTTGCTGAAGAGAAAGAAGGGCTGTCGCAGTCAGAAAGGAGCGGCAGACAAAAGGAAACTTGGTAAAAAGGAAACTTTGTAAAAAGGAATAACAGTAATGCTTCTGGTACCCAGACCCCTTGCTTTGACCCAGGAACTGCAAAAGTTGAGGCTGGCTGGATAGCTGCAGTGTTGTTTTGCTGGCTATTGCAGCCTCAGGATATTATCCTATTTGTTCTCTACGAAGCTTCCCCTGAAGAAACAAAATGACCTTCCAGGATAATTCTGGTTTTTAGCAGAAAAACACCATCAGATATAGAGAGATTAGCAGAACTCTTCTACTATTCAAGCTGTGAACTTATCTGTACTACCGTCTAAAGCAAAACAGTGCAAGGCAGTGTCTACTGTAGAAAGACGTGTTTTCAATTCCAAGACTTTTAATTCTTGACTTTGGCTAGTATATCATTTTGCTCACTTCCTGACTAAATAGTTCTGAATTTTAAAGATGACTATGAACTACAAGAATGCCTCCAGGTTTCCAGAGGACTTCAGCTTAGATAATACTATGAAAATAATACCTGAAATAGGAAAATATGTACCTATACCTGAAAAAGGTATAGCAAAATAATAGACAAAGCTTTCTAGAACAGTAAAGATCAATGTCCATCAAAGACCACTTTGGTGGTTTAAAACACTCTTTGCAAAAGAAAGCCACTTGTATCCTAATTTTGAAAAGCTCCACAGTCTTTGGAGCTGATAAAAAAGAAAATACAACAAATACCAGGCATACGTGTAGTACGTAATGGTATGTCTTCCTTGTTTTACCCTGGTTTACATTAACTCTAGGTACAGAAACCTGTAAGAGTCTTTTCTTGGGCCCTGGATGAGGGCCACCACCGCTACAATCATGATGGAAAAAGTAACTGAATCTATTACTACAATCAGCGCATGCTGGAGACAAATACTAGCACTGCTTACGTTGTATTAACATTTCCCAAGACTTTCTTGTCTGGGTTTGTTGCCTCTTCTGCATGACTGTACTTCCCCTTCGCACTGTTGCATTCACCAAAGAGAAAGTTATCACTGAACTTCTGACAGTCCTAATCTTGGAGTAAAAAAGTAATGTTCAGAGGTACATATCTTTGCAGTGAGTAGGAACCAAGGGTCATCAGGAGTCATTGTATATGGTTAAATAGTCACAAGTCATTTTGCACATTTATTAGTTGAGGTTGAAGCAAGAGAAGTCAGTGATGCACAGATGCATGCAGAGCAGGCTCCAGAATTGTTCTGCTAATGCAGTGCTACTAGACCGTGTACTGGAGAATCCTGCCCATATTCCTCTGGGAAATATGACCACCCTTCTGCTGAAATACGGTGAAGATTTGGACAAAAATTTATTCCAAGTCTAAACAAGGTTTGCTGTTTATTTAAGAAGACATTTTTAGAAGCTGAATATGCATCAATCTTAGGGGAGACTGATCAAGAACAATGTATTTCTCAGAACAAAAAGGGGGTTGCTCCAGATATTATTTTAGCATCATTCTTTACTGATGCTATCAGATTTCAACAGCTGACTAAAAGTCATGGGTTTAGCATCCTTTAAGCATAAGCGAGTAAGTGGCATGCTATTTTAATAAATCACAAAGAACGCCCAGAAACACAACACTTGTTTCTTAAACTAAGAACACATAATTGAGAGTTGGTGGAGCTGGATCCAGAGAAATACGAAACAACCATATAAAGGCAAAGAAACTCTACAGTAATCACTGACTAGGGTAAATCTGAATTTGTAAAAAGCATGTTAACTGAGCCAACAGAAGCTGGCAGTTATGTGCGCACAGCTAGTTTTAAAGGAAGGCCAAAGAAAAACCAGCATCTGTTTATTCTGGCATCAAGACACTGCTGCCCCAGCTGAAAGCTCAGCTATATTTGTCGTAGGCCCAGAATTATCTTCACTCTGCTCAGTATATTATCGTTCCTCTCAGACACATATACATTCTTAAAATGAATAATATTTTGCAGCTAGAGATAATGTTTTTAAGGAAGATTAATTCCAGTGAGGTTACTTAATTACTCAGCAAGCAACAAAGCTCCTTCTGTCTGTCACGGTTTGCAGCTCTCTACTATCCGATCACCTTACGTATGCAAAGCTTTTACTAAAATCCTCCATTGCTCCCACTTTTTTGTATGGGGAAACTAACCCTAGAGAGATTATCTGATTTACTGTAGGGTCAATAATTCCCAGCCTTGTTGCAGCCAGGCCTCACTTGAGAAAACTAGCAACATGCCATAATTCACAGCTAAAGGCTATTTAGTTTCAAAACACAGCAGTAACGAAGCATACTGATGTTTTAAAAAGTAACATCACGCACAAAGTATGTAGCTCAGGGAACAAGTTGACCATACCAAAACCAAAAGCAAAATATCACGCTTACCTTACTAGGGACACGGCTGTGACTGCCTCCATTTACACAGCCGCCAAGAGCAGGAGAAACCTGGAGGAGATACTGGGAGATGCAGTAAGACAGGTTTTGAGCTGAGAAGGGTATCGCTGGGGCTTTAGGAATACATAAACGTGCAGGAACGGCTCCTTGCTGGAGAGGAGAGGCCCGCGGCAGCTGCCTGCACACCTGCTTGCAAACCGCTGGCTGTTCTAGGCCACACGAAGGGCCTGCTATGGAGCCAGAAACTGAGTCCAGATCTCCTGAGCTTCAGGCCAGCGCTTTCATCACAGAAGTCTTTTCTTTCTCATCCAATTGCTAGCATTTAACCCTCCAAAGTATATGCATGTCTACAAATGGGAAAAAAAAAAAACAAGAAAAATTGAAAGAAATTTTAAAATTGTGATTATTTCTTTATGGAAAAATCTCACAGAATACAAAAAGCAGCCAGAATTTCAGAGACATTAGAGCCCTGTGGAAATTACAATAAAAAGCCAATAAAATTTTAT